GAGGAAAATGAATCTTTTGTTACCAGCGATAAAGTTGTCTAATTCGTTGGTAAAGCGGCCGTTTTAAACTTTTTACACTTCTCTGCGCGCGATTATTCAGTTTCCAAATTTTCTCAGCAGTCCCAGACCCCAGCAACAGCTGGTCGCGTATCTCAAATTCAAAATGTCTACCTCACACACAACGACACCTTCATTGCATGCTAACATAGATTTTATTCATTTTCAATCTGAAGTGAGAGTCCCCTGTGTAATTCACAACGTTTTCCGCCACAATCGAGAGTTTTTCGTCGTAATTGAGTTTGTTAAATTTGTGTTTACTAAATGGTGATTACACTGTAGCTAAGCTCAGACCTATTTTTCCCTGCGGCATAGTGCTAACCGTTGATGTTTTTCGTGTTTCTGTTTCAAGAAGCAGAAGCGCTTGGTAGGCGAGGGCTTTCAAGTCATCGGGTGAAAACCCGCGGGGACACGGGATCCCACTCATCCAATCCTCCGCCTTCTTCGCCGCCAGGCTCCACTCTGCCTCGAATTGGCGCCTCTTTCGATATAACCAACTCAGCGCAAGCGCAGTGGCCCACAACTGAGAACTGTTATCGCACTTATCGGAATCCATCAGCTCTTGAAGGTCGTCCGCGATATAAACGGAGTTGTCGGCCAGCGGGGACGCTTCTTGAATACCATTCAGCGATAGCCCCAGGACTTCCGCGAAGGCGTAATCTATGTTCCAGCTTCCCTGAGCAGACTGCAAACTGATCATGCGCACAAACGACAAATGCTGTTTGGTCCCAGGACTCCAGTAGGTATCAAGACTGGAGGAGGAGAGGAGTTTGGGTTTGATTTTCGAGGGGGTTTGCTGCCTCTCACCTAAGACGCATCTCGTGGAGAAAGGAGGAACATGTTTTCGTGGACTTTTACTGGGAGACGTTTGAGTACCCTCAGTTTCTTTTCTTGATCCACTTTCTTCGTGTTGACTCTCTGGAGTACCTTGGAAAATGAAAATAACTTGCTTTACGTTAAGTAAACAAGAGTCTTCCGCGCCAAACCAAAACCAATTAAGGGTAATCGGCAAAACAGCCAATCACAACGAATGCAAACAATACAATAAACCAAAAACAACAACAACAAAACTCCACGTAAATACACAAAAAATGCGCGTGACCAATTCGCGACAGGTTTTGCTCCATGATTGGCCAAGTGGGAGGCGTGAGTGTTTTTTTTAGCCAATCACAGAGTTAAGAATAGAAGCGAAAGTACAAGAGATCTCACAAACAAAAATCTTTACCAGTTCGCTCAAGGCGATAAAAATCCACTGGCTCTTCTCCAGCCTCCAGAATAGGGTTGTTTCCGCCCTCGGCGAAATATGGCGAAATGTCTTGGTCACTGCCATCTGGACTGGGGAGACGCCGGCCCAGGCCCTCCGTGAAGCCGGAGTTTCGCTCTAGGACTTTCACTTTACGATTCCTTTGAAAAAGCGGATGAAAAGTATAATAAATGTATGAAGTA